AATCCTTGGTGGGTATAAAATGTTTATGTTATTTCAAAAATTAAAGTCTTCTGTTGCCATATTTTTCTAGTTTATGAAACTATTTTTGAACTAAAACCCAACACGTACACATCGTCATGTTTTGGACTTATGATTTTGGAAAACTCTGATATTGAACATCTTTTGAAAACAATGTTGTAAACAATTTATGATCTTGGTTTGGTTTTTAAAAAGTTTAAATTTTCAAGATTTTTGTGGATGTTACACTTAATCCATTAAGACATTCTACAAGATGCATGGAGCAAAACCAACCATTTGAAACCCATTTTTATGACCCAAGACCCTCCCAAGGGTCTGAAAGGACAGCTTAATGGGTCAAGAACATGTTTTTTTCAAGAAACATCACATTTGGGACAAAAGGGACCTAAAACTATCCCAAAACCAAATCTACAAGAAACTACACCAAGTTCAAAACTTGATACCTCAAAATGGTGCCTAAAGGTGGAGTGATCCTGGATCTAGAGAGCTTCACTCCTTCAAGGTGGTCTCCTTTTCTTTCCTTCTTCTTCAAGAGCACAAAACACACCCACTTAAGCTGATAAATTATTCACAAGAGGGATTAGGGTTGCAAAAATGTATCAAGACGGTGGAGGCTGATAAGGTGAGGGAAAATGAGGCTATAATGGGGTTTAAATATGAGCCAAACCCTAAAAATTAGGGTTTGCATGCTGGGCACGTACGCCCTGCGTACTAAGGCGCGCCTTAGTATGCTAAGTGTACACACGTACGCATGACGTACTCCCAAACCTCTCAAATTACGAAATTGTCACTAGGGCTTCCCATGCACACTTCCTTCTACTTAGGGACCCAAAATGCAATATAATAAAATTATAGGGTTAAAATTAAAAGTACCTTATCATTGGGATGTTACAGTCACCACCGCCACCGTCATTGCCATCTCTTCCACCACCACTACCATTATATTTTACTTTTATCTAAAAATCAATATGGTTAATGTGTTTATATATACATATGGTTTGTTTCGTTTTCTCATATATGATCAATGTTGTTTAATGTTATTGATATAACCTTCAAGCTTAAAAAAACAACAAACACGACTTTTTTTTTGCGAACTGCAGATATTTAGGTCATACCTTTTCCAGCAGATGTCGTTTATAGACCGTAGACATTTACCTCTTAAAAAACAAACAATGCCTAAATACACATGGTGTCTTGTGAAAATAGTTGTTACCCTGCGAAATTGTTAATTTACTATGAAGATGACCTCGTTTTAACTATTTCGAAACTCCTACAAATGGATTTGTGAAATGACCCTTGCGAAATGGGCAACAAGCCTTGATTTTTTTAAATAGTTGAAATAAATGATTACAATATTATAGGAAAGTATCATTTAATTAAGTTGACTATCTCATTAATGTCATGACTAAAATTCCTATATTGACCCTTAGAAAATGATTGGTCAACAATCGTTCTCGCATTCTCAACTTTTTTACGTTCTCAATATAACATCTCCCTATATATATATATATATATATATATATATATATATATATATATATATATATAGAATATATATATATCTATATATATAGATATAGGGAGATGTTATATTGAGAACGTAAAAAACAATATAAATCTCCCTATCTATATATATATATAATATATATATATATTATATATATTATATATATATATATATATATATATATTACTGTCTTTTTATTTTATTTTTATTATTATTTCATTTATAATTACCATTTTTATAATGTCAACAACTTAAATCATTTTTATATCATAACTTTCAATATATAAGTTTTGGTATATCATTTATACCGTTAACATCGTTTAAGTTTTATCGACCTTCAAATATAACTAACTATTGCAATCAAACATAAACAAACAACACATTCAATATATTTTTTTTGTTTTAGATTGTGATTTTTTTACTTCAATATAAAGTAACTTTTGCGCATAAAATCTCGATAAAAGATATCAATTTTATGATATTCACTATAATATTAATATAACACATCCGTCGTCTTTTTTATGATCGGATACATTACACAAAATATTGTATCTTCACAAATTAACTAAATTATTGTTTAGTCACTTTCATTGATAAAACATGTTTATAAAAGTCTTTGATGATGATATGAGAATGACATAAAAACATACATAGTTGATGTCATGCGCGATGCGCGTGGATTCGCCTAGTTATATTATAAAAGAAGCAAAAAAATTGCACCACATTATTTTGAAACTCTTATGACCTTTCAAATTTTAACAATACATAAATTGGTTAGTTAATTTGAGATAAATACAAGAAAAATTTTATAACTAAATTTTTGATAACAATAAGTGATTTTAAAATCAGTTAATAATAATAATTTACAATAACATAAAATTATAAGGTACATTACAAAACCTTATAAATATTGATATTTTAAATAATGATACAAACTTAAAAAATAGTCAAATAATTAGTTTTTAAATCACTTAATCATAAAAAATGTTAAACTAACACTAAATCAAGAATTATATTTAATTTATTTACGAATAAGCCACGAATAGATATCATTAAACAATTTGATTTTAATATATCTTTAAGTTATTATATCATTCAAATTAAATAGTTATAATTATATATATATATATATATATATATAATATATATATATATAAAGTTACTATTTCATAGTTAATGTTAATTATCATTTTCAACAAAGTTGACTATATAATTTTTAATCTGCACAAGAAAAATGACATTTGCCTAATGATAAACAGCAAGAAAGGGAAAGGGATAAAGGGACTAATCCTTATTTTCACATAGACCCCATAACGTTTGATTAATGTGAATTTATTAGAAAAAAAAATGAAACAATAAAAAATATATAAAAGGGATAACAATGTTTTTTTATATATACTTAATGGTTGTTATCAATGGAATTAGCCGATAAGACCAAGTGCTTAATATTTGAAATCATGGGAACCAAACGTGTAGTTTCTGAATTCTGATTGTTATGGTGATATTTGTTTTTTGCAAACAACAAGCACCAAATGTATCTTATTTTAATTTGTAAAAACATGAAATCTATATTATTATTATTACATTTGTAGCATACTTGATGGTTAAGCCTACATATAAGAAAACAATGCCGTTTTAAGTTTTTCGAATAGTTTCTATTTTTTCTGGGCTGTATACAAAAAAAACCCGAAGTTAACCTAGAAATTCATTTATTAATCCGTCTTATTCTCAAATGTATACTTTCACTATGCTTTGATTAATCAGATCGACTATTTCACTCCCAAATCTATTATGCATCAACGTCAAAAGTCGCAATCATTTCCCACGATTATGCATTAATTACTCATGAATCAGCCGAACCTTCACTAGCAGCCCATCACAAAAGACACCTTTACAGAGAATTACGCGATGAAACCCAAGTAATTTCCCTTAACTTTTTAACAAACGCCATGGCAGAACCTTCAAAAAAACACGATTGTTCTCGATAAAAGGATCAAAAACCTTCATACAACTTACACAAAAAGATGGACCCAGAAATGGGTTCTTATGGAGAGGATAATAGAACCTACAAAGCAAGAGAACTCTATGTACTTTCAGACAAGATCGAAGAACTTCATAAAACCAATGAAGAACTGAAGCAAGCTAAAGATGAAGCCATGCAATCATGGTTAGATTCAAGGCCGATAATTGATGAGCTCGAGAGGCTACAATCTGAGCTAGCAAATGCCAAAGAAGAGTCCGAGAACAACACGCTTGTTCCAAAGCTTGAATCCGAGCTCATGGCGATTAATATGAAAATTAGAGCAAAAAAAGAAGAAGAATTGAGATCGAGAACCGAGATTAATGAAATGACTCAAGTTTCCGAGAGTGTAAGGGCGGAAATGGAAAGAATTAAACTTGAAATAAACGAAGGTAAACGAGAAAGATCGAAGATGAAAATGGTGATTAAGATGAAACGGCAAACCCTTCGAACGCTTGGACTCACTTTGAGGGCGGTCCGTTTAGAAGTCGAGGCATACAGTGCTGCTGCTGCAGCAGCACTGGAACATATCGGTCGTGGCAAAGTATCTGACAATACTGTCACGACCGATATGACACAAGAAGAGTATTTTGCTTTGATGAGGCAAGCGAAAGAAGAGACGTCTTTGGCGGATTGGCGGGTGGTTGTGGCCACAGAACAAAGACTTGCAGCTGAAAAAAGCCGTGATTTGGCTTTAAAAAGATTGAACGACCCGACTCTTAGAGTCAGGTCGATAAAAAAGGAAAATGAAGTAGAGATGTCTGGGAAAGGAGCTCTAAGCTCTAGAGCTCAGACTCCTTTCCCAAGAGGTCAGACCAAACTAATAACCCACAGAGAGATGAGAAGGGATCCGAGTCGGAGGCAAGTTATCAAGAAACGGTCGGTCTTTGTCAAAATAAAATCTTTTCTTGCTCGAAAGATTAAGTACCTATTTGGATGAACACTTGATGTGTATATAGCAACAAGTTTCAAGCTTCCGACATGTTTCACAACAAATATTTAATAATATGTTAGGTGTCTATAGGGCTGGAAACGAAATGTGAAGCTTATTTATGACCTCTTATTAATAAAGAAACAGAAATGAACAGAATATTTGTTTGTGTAGTTAAATGAACAAACATACAAGTTATCTTGGTTGTGCATTTACCTTTGTTTATGTGTGTTTGTTTCTTAATCAACGTTTAGGTTTGCTTATTATACTATATTATATATATTTGATTGTTTTAATTAGTAATTAATTAAGTTATAATTACTGGAATGAACTACTTCAAGAAGCTTTTGAAAGCTTTTAAGTTTTAATTAATTTTAAATATTTAAAAAATATAGAGTTAGTTACTTCAGCTGAATATTTCTATGCAAATAAAAGTTACAACTTCCAGCTAGTTTTGCGAATTTCTACCGTGTATCTTTAAGAAAAACATTTTTCTATAACTTGAAATACTTGTCATAATAAATATCCATACAATATATCACATGTTTGTGACAAATATTCAAAATATTTCTGCTTATTCATACACACATGACCAAGTTTTCGATCAAATCCACAACCTTTCTAGTTCACAAGATTGCATTTATTTCTAATTTGACCATTTTGCCCCTTAATAACACCAACAGTACTCAGCTTCACCATCGACGCACCAAAATCTTTAGCAAACAAATACGGAAACTTACTATAATTTAAAACCATACCCGATGTTCTATTATCAGTCATAAGAGCCTGATCTGAACCCAAAATTCCCGAATTATTCACGAGGTTTCTATAATAAACATTGTCAAACTTTGTTGTGGTAACTGCGTCCAGTGGGACCAGATTTGTGTTCGAATCATCTTGATTCGGACACACTGTTTGCAAGCTGCTTGCAAGTGACGCATCGAGTAGTGGATCGGGCCCACCCGATCCATCAAAGTTGAATAGGCGTTGCTTGAATGTGAAACATTGTGCAAATCCTATCGTGTGTGCACCTTAAAAAGGAGAAAGTAAGCATTTAGTAAGTCATTGGTTACAAACACAATTAAATAACTTTTAGGCGTTGTTTGTTAAGCAAGACATGATATTGTGTTAGACATGTACTCGACTGAGACTTGTCTCGATGGGGGACAAATTTTTCAATTTTGTTGTTTCATCCAAAAAGATACAATATTGACTCATGGAACAAAAATTACAATTTTTTGTCCCAAAAAAATGTGGGCCCAAACCCATAAAAAGACAAAAAGGTAGGACAGTTCCATTTTGTTTTGTTCTACCAAAATAGGTGGGACCAAGAGTCACAAAAAGACAAAAAGGTGGGGTTGTCTGTAACAAGGGAGACATGATAATTAAAATAGTTTTAAATTACTTTATCTATTTTTTTTTTTTTACCTGAGAGTACAACCATGTCTTTTAGGTTAAGACCTTTTGTAGTAAATTTTGTGGTGATGTTGTCCAGAGGCTCGAAAGGCGATGGAATATCGGTGTTTGCTAAGGTTATATTCGCTGTTAGGCCATCACGACGCCCCATGGGTAAAGAATAGTAAGGCCCTCCCGACTACAAAAATAACACAAACCTACGTCAAAAAAAATTATATGTTGGACACGTCAGATTAAGATAATCTTATACTGTGTTTGACATCAATTAGACTGTATCCATGACTGATGTCAATGGAACAAAAAATTTTAATCTTTTTTTCGTCCCACCCTAAAAGGTGGGACATGGACATGGACTAGGACTAATGGAATCAGATCTTGATCTGTTGTTTGTGCAAAAGACGTAAATACCCATGTAATATAAAACCTACGAGGAAGACGGCTTCTCTAACTGTGAGTGTCAATATATCGGTACAAGAAACAGTTCCCGGACAAGCTTTTTCAACGTTTGCTTTTATGCTCTCAATAAGCTCAAATCCTCTTGCTGAATTTCTATTAGGATTTGCGTCCTTTTCACTCTGGAAACTATTGGTTGCATCAAGTAACACCGACCCTTCACACCCCTAAATTCAAAACACAAAAAATAAAATATTTAATTCGATTAAAAATATTTTAAGGAAAAATAAAAATTTGAGTAGTTACATTAGAAATACAATCGTGAAAATGCAAGCGAAGAAGCGAAGCAGCGATCCTGGAGTCGTTATTCATGGCTGACCAGAGGTTGAACTTAACGATTTTTGTTAAGTTAGGACAAGTGGAATCATAGAATTTGTAATCGAGTTGACTGTTGACTAATGGTTGAAAAATTAAGGAAAACATGAGAATAAGTGAAGATTTTAAAGCACAAGGTTGATTCATGTTTGTGAAATGTAAATTGTAATGGATATTGAATTTGTTAGAAGTGTTATAGAAACATGGGTTTATATAGATGTTTTTTTTGTCGAGTGGATGTGCCACTTAGAAAGAATTTGGAATTAGTCTACATCAAGGTCAAGTTGGTAAGTGGAGTTGGTGTTATTAATATATATGCAAGTGATTGTGGTCATTTAGTATATTTGGTACGATGGAATGGAATTAGAAAGGAACGGAATGGAATGGATGATTACATTCCATTGTAGTATTTGGTTGGCTTGAAGGGATGGGATGAATCGTTTAAACATGTTGTTTGTTTGTGTAAAATTAGAAAACTGATTAAAAACAAATTTGTAAATAAAGAAAAATAATGTTATTTTTAGAAATAAATTAATCAGATAAATATGGGTTATTGTTAGAGAAGTCCCATCATTTTGTTTTAGTTTATGGAAAAGTCCCAAACTTTTATTTTATTTTTTGAACAGAAAAGTTTCGATGATCTAATTTTACATGATATGATGATAATGTATTATTTTCTGTTAAAAAAAGAATAAAAGACTTTTCAGTTAATTTGGACAAAATATTATATAATCGGGACTTATCTGTTTAAAAATAAAAGTTAGGAATTTTGCATAAACTAGGACAAATAATGAGACTTTTCTAAAAGTAACCGAGATAAATATTTATCGCTTAATAGATTGCATTAACGTATTAAAATACATATATATTATATGTATTTTCGAAAAAAGTTATTTATCAGTTAAAAAATTGTTTACCTAAATATAAATAGTATAAACATGATGAGCTTAATGATATAATTACAATAAAAAGGTACTTCTAGTTTTTTTGGAAAACAAAAAATAGTTTAATTTAAATTTTGAGATTTTATAAAAACATTAGTATTATTGATGATTATATAAATAAAATAAAATTACAATTATAATTATAATATATACTTAATTCCATTCCCTCTGCAGACCAAACATTACCTTAAGTGTTTATGGTGTAAGAATGTTTAATTCATTGAGTTTTGGTGTAAAATGTCTAATCAGCATTTACTATAAGAGATTTTTTGGTATAAGATATAATAATAGAGATAAGGCTACAGGAAAGAAGAAGCAGATCTTAATGGCTGCTGAAGAGTTTCTAGATTTCTTTTCTTTCCTACATCAGCACCATTAAATAGTCAAAACTTTTAAGTCACTTAGCAAAGACTTTATAATATAATATAATATAATATACACATTTTGTCTTAAGCTAATGCAGCTTAGAAGAGCTCTGAAATAATTCTTAATGATAGTGGTAAGTATCATGTGTTAGGCGGCTTATCACTATTGATAGTGCTAATTAATTAATTTAAATATAAAATAGGGTTTTTTACCGTAAAGTCCCATTTTTAATAAAGTCCTAACCCTTTTGACCTGTTCAGCAGGTCATGGTATCAAATCGTTAATTTTCCTAAAAATATGGGACTTTTCTGCAGATTTCTTCAAAATTTGTATATAATGTATAAGCATATTTTTTACGTGTGTGTATATATATATATATATATATATATATATATATATATATATTTTATGTTTTATATACATATGTTTACGTATTTGTATGTATTTTAAATGTATAAACGTATTTTTTTTACGTATTTATGTATTTTTAAAGTTTTTTTATATAGATATTTATGTATTTTAAATGTATAAGCATATTATTTTTAAGTATTTATGTATTTTTTACTTTAAGTCGTCTTCACCATTTTATCCAATTCCCACAGCTTCTTCGTGTATGTCTAGATGGTTTTCCTACATACCCATATATTTTAAGTTTTTCCCATTTGCTTATCTTGAAATTAAACATCGAATTGAAAAACAAAAGAATAATTTATGCACATCCGAAAACTTCACCAGGCTCATGTGGCCTCAAGGGAGCCCAAACTTTTCGTATGTGCATCTTTTTTTTTTTTTTTTCTAATTTGATGTTTAATTTCAAGATAAGCAAATGAGAGAAGCGTAAAATATGTGGGTATGCAGGAAAACCATCCAGACATACTCGATGAAGCTGGAGGAATTGGATGAAATGGTGAAGACGACTTAAAGTAAAAAATATATAAATACTAAAAAATAATATGGTTATACATTTAAAATACAGAAAAATACATAAATATCTATATAAAAAAACTTTAAAAATACATATAAATAAAAAAATAACACTTAAAAATACATATAAATACGTAAAAAAATACGTTTATTCATTTAAAATACGTAACCATATGTATATAAAACTCAAAAAATACATAAATACGTATAAATACGTAAAAAATACGTTTATACATTATATACAAATTTTGAAGAAATAATTTTGTCCCGTGACCTGTGAACAGGTCAAAAAGGGATAAAGTGAATAAATTAGCCGGTTTCTTAGGCTTTTCTATTCAAAAATTTAAATAATCCCGGACTTTTTTGTTCAAAATTTTTTTTTAGGACTTTATCAAAAAATTTCCTAAAATAATGAGACTTTACTGTAGAAAACCCATATAAAATATAGAGAATTCATGTATTTAATAGAAATAATATTAGAAATAATAATTAATACGTACTTGTTTAGAAGCTTCCCTTTTGTCATTGACAACTAATCCGGTCTATGCCTTGAACGTTCTCTTCGGTTTTGCACCTGAAAAAAAAAATTAGAATTTTATTTTTCTGCAAAAGGGTTTACTATTCCAACAACTTCTGAGCTGACCCACACTGTCTAGACAGTGGCCCACTAGATTGCTGACATAAGAGCACAGTGTCCGCGAGTTAATCCACATCGGAATTGAAACCGTAACATCCATAATTTTGTATTTAGTTTATTCATTTTAAATTTAATTAAGGGTCCCATTGATGAGATTTAGATATTATGGGACTATAAAAATAAGAAAATAGGAATTAAAATGATTAAATGTCAAAACTGGTAAAACAGAAAAGGAAAGTGTGTTGCTGTTTTTGAAATGATCTCACTAGGCTTTTTTAGCCTAAAGCTTTATACTTTGGTGACATAGTTGACAATGGGAATTTTGATGATATCGACTACCAAACTCTCATGAAATATCAATGGTTGTCGCCTTTTTTTTTCTTATAAAGATTTACAAGTTGGTTTTAATTAATTCATGATTTATATAATGCAAACCCACTAAAGCAATTAAATCCTTAAAAAACTATCAAAGCTTCAACTAAATTCCAATTAGTTTATGTTAGCCATTGTAAATATGATATGTAAATTGAGTTCATTAAGTTTTTCTTTTTAATTCTCCCAAATGTACCATTTATTAATTATAAAAAAACTCAATCTTCTATGTGCCCTTTTATGTCATTTTACATATTTCAGCTAGCTTATCAACTAGTTTTACCAAACGTCATTTTTCATCAGCTAGCAGCTAGTTTTTCACTTTTCAGCTATCAGCTGTCTTTTCAGCTAGTCACCAAGCATGGTCTTAATGTGCTTTTTAGTAAAGTAAAATTCTTTCCTATATGAGACACATACTAAAGAAAGAATGATAGTAAAGAAAGAGGAAATAAATAAGAAGGTAGTTTTCCTTAAAGTTTTAGATGTGTATTGTACAATGAATGCTATTTCCTGATTTTTAAAAATTAGAAGAAAAACTAAAAATGGAAATGAAAATTACCGTTAATGTCATCCTATTAGGTGAATTGGTAGAAGCTGGAATGTCAAGCTGGCTTGAGTTGTTCAAGAACCTATGTTCAAGTAACATTGTAGCTGTTGGTCTTTCTGCAGGATTCCTAATAAAGCAACAATGCAAGAAGCTTTTTCCTTCAGGTGACATTGATTCAGGTATTGGTGGAGTCTCCTTCATCACCTTGAACATTGCTGCAGGCTGCAGTAAGGTTTAGCAAATGGTGAATAATGAATTATGTTAACTTTCTAGGGTTATATGATATATCTGATCATAAGGATCAGGAGGGCATTCTAGGGTTATATGATATATCTGATCATAAGGGCAGGGGAAAAAGTTTCAATTTTTGTGCCATTGACATCAGTGGACAAACTTTCTAGGGCTACTTCCGAATGTGGATGAGGAGGGTATTTATGTCTTTTGCACAGATGAGAATACCAAAAAAAAAAAAAAGTAGCTGCTGCTTACCCCTTCAAACTCACTCCAAGGAGGTTTTCCATTCATCATTTCAATAATTGTACAACCCAAACTCCATATATCAACAGCTAGAGCAAGATCAGGATTAGAATCCTTTTGTGTATCACCCTGTAAGAGCTGAATTAAAGAGAATAATATCAATAATGAAAGAAAATTTGTAAATTGTAGAAAGTTCTGATGAGAAGAATAGTACCTCTGGAGCCATCCAGTAAGGACTTCCTTTCAAAGAAAGATGTACTTGTCCACTGAGCTGTGTAACAAGATTAAAGTTTCAATAAGTATGTTGTATAAAATATAAATAACACAATCAAGAACCAATACAAAAACATTAAGAAACAGAAAACAAGAACATGACATGAGGTGTGAAGGATCTTTAATCTTACATGTTTAGCCATCCCAAAGTCAGCAAGCTTCACAACCCCATTTGCATCAACTAGCAAATTAGCCCCTTTGATATCTCTACAAAACACATCACATAATCACTATCCAAAGTCAAAACACAACACCCTTTAAGATAATAAATAATCTTCAAATTTTGTATCAAGCAACAAAACATGTAACTGTTACCTGTGTATGGTCTTTGTGCTATGCAAGTAGGCTAGCCCTGATACAATATGACGTGTAAAACTTCTTACAATAGATTCTGTCATTCCTCCAAAATGATCACGAGCATACTTATTGATTGAGCCTGGATGAACATACTCCAAATATATGTAAAGCCGATTCCCAACCTGCATGTTCTTAATGTAAATCTCTAATGTTGCTTTGAAATAGATAATTGGTAATTACAATTTGAAAAAAATATGCTTACTATTTCGCTACCATAATATTGTACGATGTTTGGATGTTTAAGCTGGCT